CATCATAGTTTCAGTTAAAAAGGTTTATTTTATATACATCTCTTTCTGTGACTTCTACCCTGCATTATGACTAGGAAGTGTATTATGATTAGGAATTCAACAAACAGGAGGAGGTCCTGCATTGTATATGACCTTAAAAAGGACACCTAGAACACACTACTACAGATCTATGTACTACCTTACACGTAGGAAGAACCCTGACCATATTTGACACAAGAACCTATTTGTAGTCAGCCATATACGAAAAAAGATTTTCTAAATAAAAAAGAGCACTATAAGGTGCAAATGTTACTGGATTGGTAGCATGCAAAATAAAGCCACTTTTCTCTATTATTGTGGGAGGGGAACTATTTGTTTTTTAACATAAGATGGGCTTGAACTTCTAGTTCTGTTGTTTGTCACTTTATTTCCTCCCTGAATAGAACATGCAATAAACTATTTAAAAAAAAGAAAAGGCAAGATTGAACATCACTGACAGGCACCACAGTAGTTAAAATATGAGCCTATTACTATGAGATTTTTTTCTATTCTAGAAGTCACATTTATAAAATCTTTACTTGAGCTGGAAGCTTTCCTTATAGCTCTAATCATTCTGGTTTAAAAAAAAGAAAATCTTTCACATTTCTAAATGGAGATTCAGATTTTTTTACTTGATATTTAAGAGTATCATTCTATTAAAGAGTAGGCTAACTTTAAGGCAAGAGGGTTATATTTCTTGGAAATCTATGACTGATATAATTTAAAACATTAAGCTTCTCGTATACTGGTCTGTACATCTTTATATATAATATTTTATTATAATTTGGTAATTTAAAAACAGAAAGAAAATGACTTTATAGTATTCTTTTATAGTTAGAGATTGCCTAAAGCCCAAACCATACATTTACACAAATTGGCAGATCATGCGTCAGAGGGACCTGTACACAGACAATGACTTGCTGTTTCCCAAGTCAGTCATAGAATGGTAGAATCATGGTGAAGTAGGTCTGGAAGGGAACTCAAGAGGTCATCTAGTCCAACCCCCTGCCTGAGGCAGGATCATCCCTACCCAAATCATCCTATATCATCCTATACAATCTAAACTCTTCATAACACTAGCACCAACCCTGACTCAACACAAGACATAATATCCCAAGCTGCCGCAGGTAAACCAAGGGTACCATGACAGCCTCTATAAAAGGTTATAAAAGATCCTAGCTAAAGGGCCATGCCCTGCACTAAAAAGGATCTAACCAATCTAACCATGGAGAAAAGTTATTTCCTGACCCCAAATATGACAATCAGTCTAACCCTTAGTGGGGGTTGGGGGGTAAGACCCTCTAGCCTGGAACCTCTTGCTTTA